TGAAAAAGAATTAATTATTTTTTCAAAACATTTGAAATACCAAGGAAAAAAGTTGAAAGAATTTTATTCATAATAAATCACACTGAAAATTTAAGTTAAAATCAATTAATAGCAGAACATAATTAACTTCAAAGATTAATCCATTTTTTTATAATCAATCGAATACCTACAAACTGAATTTATATAAACTTTTTTTATCAATATCCGTAAAGTTTTTTGGAGGTCTCAAAAATATCCAATTTTATTAAACAAAATTTTAATGATAAATAAATCCAAGAAAAAGTCAAAATAGAATAGTGTTGAATAAATAAAATAATTTTAGGTGGAATTCCGGATTTTCTAAACTCTTTTTCAAAAATTATGACCCACCCTGAAATAATAAATTGAAAAAAAAAAAATTATCCTTTAGTATTCAAGAACAATTAATAACTAAATCTGAGTTTTAATTTACTTTTAAGTCATTCTAAATATATAAAAGCCTCATATATTAAAAATTAAAAAAAAATAAAACCAAAAACTTAAAAAAAAGTGAGTCACAATTTTTGAAATGAGTATATACGGATTTTTTATTACTGAACTTTCACCGGAAAAAAAGTCGAACAACAGCATTTTTTAGGATTAATTAAATTCATTTTCAAAGACATTACAAGGTCTCAATTTTCTTACTGATTATTTGTCTTTTTGAAGATCTCTTTTTTTTTTCTGCATGATCTTTTTAAATAAAAAAAAAAAAAAGAAAAAAAAAGAAAAATAAAAAGAAAAAGAAAAAGAAAAAGAAAAAGAAAAAGAAAAAGAAAAACTAAAATTTGCAAAATTAGAAAAAATGATTCTGATCCAAAAATTTGAAAATATTTTTTGTAAAGAATACTGGAATAAACCCTCAAAACAACATCCATTAATATTATAAAGTTAGTCAAAATTTTTGAAAAATAGTTTATTTAGTAATTTATTTTTTCTTGTATTAATTGAACTTTTTTTATTTTCAATAAGACTTTCCAATAATAAATCCTAACTAACTTGTTTTCCAATTTCACATTTACATTGGGGGTGGTTGGGTGGAGTTAGAACTTCTAAAATGATAATTCTAACTTTTAATGATTGGAGAACTCTACAACTTTTCATAGAACTATCCATCTTATTATAATAATCCAAAATATTTAATCTAAAGAATTAGCTCAAAAAAAGTAAAAATAAATATAAACTTTATAATAATTTCTTTAAAACACTTCAAAATAAAAAAATCTTGATTGAGTTTCTAGTTGGTTAATGATTAAGATAATTATAGTTCTTTCTTGAAGTTTTGAATGAAATAAACTCGAGAAATTAGAGAAGTTTGAAAAAGTTTCATCAAGTGCCTCGGTTTTTCATAATTCGAAAGAATAGAGAAAAATCTATGATTTTATCCAATTTTTATAAATTCTGGAAAACCTACTTGCATTTTTTTAATTTGTGAAATATATAGAATATCTAAGAAATTTTCCGTTTATTTCTTTAACGGACGAGTAACGCTTATTTATTTTTATTCTCAAAGGTAATAGAGTAATTATTTACACAATGATGCAAGTAAACCCAATATGAACAGCAAGTTTCAAATAAAAGAGACAAATTATCATTTTTAAATAAGTTCATTTTTCTCAATTAAACTTTTTGTAAAAAGATCTAGATCCTTTTTTATTTTAGGGAATTTTTGGATCCAAATTATAGAAAAAGAAAATAAAAAAAAAATAATTTTAAAGCAGTATTTTGAGTATAAGAGGAAAAAATCTGGATTTTGAAAATCATTCATTTTTTACTTCTTTTTTCAATTCGGAAAAAACAGTAATCTATGTTACTAAGCAAGTGGTTCAATTAATCAGAGAATTAAAAAGGGGGTTAGAGTTAGTTCCACTTTTAAGGCACAAACTTCAACAAAATTTAAGGCACAATAGAATCTCAAATTAAAGTAGAAAATTTAAAAATTTTTTTTTTAAATTATTTTAATCGAATTTGAATTTTGTGCTTTAATTTGGAATTTTTCCTGTACCTTAAATTTGGTTGAAAGTTTGTACCTTAAAAGCGGAACTGACTGTACCTTAATTTATCAACTTGAGAGAGATGAGTTATCAATTTTAAAATAGTTCATTTTCCCTATGAATTTCCAGTCAAAAGATCTTCATCCTTTTTTGATTTGAATTTTTGTATCAAATTAGTAAAAAAAAAAAATTTACAAAAAAATTAAATTGTGAAGAAATCTCACTTTGAGTAATTTCTGAGAGTCTGAATGAACAAATAACCTTGAACCTTTAATATTATTTTAAAAATACAATAAAAATATATCAAAATTTGAATCTTGAAGATCTAAAAAAATTGATCATCTATTTTATTTACAAATAAACTCTATTTTAAAAACATTAACCCATTAAAAATCAAATTTTAAAGAAAAATATTTTTAATAATTGAATTTACCTATAATAATATAAAAATTTCGATTTTAATATTCGGTTCTTTACTCAAGAGATTTTTATTTATTGTCTAAAAATAAAAGAAAAAAAAATAAAAAAAACTGTTAAAAAAAATTGTGACATTTATTTTGAATGAAGCATTACATATAAAAAATAGAAAATTTAAAAAATTAGTGAAACCCAGTTTATCGATTCTCCTTCCCTTCAAATAAATAAATCTAATTTCTTTTTCATATTTGAAACCAATTTTTTCATTAATTCATCTATTACTTGTTTCCAATTTCTCATTTTCAGTTTCCATTTTAACAAAAAACCATTGAAAAAATTAAAAAGAGAAAAATTGAAAATTTGCAAACTTTACATTATGAGGGGAAAATTCAAAACTATACAAAAAAAATTCAAAATTAAAATTTAACATGTACCATTTATTATGAAATTTAGTTTATTTCTTAAATTTCTTGAGATTTACAAGATTAGGTAATATTCTTTTTCAAATAACAAGAGTATAAATAAGGAAATTTTACTATTATAATCTGTTTTTTTGAGAATATTGATTTTTATTATTATTATTATTTATTTTTTTGAATTTGTTTTTTTTTTGTTTGAAAATCTTTGAAAAATTGAGAAATAATCATAAAGTCCATTGATAGTTTTAGTCTCTGGGTTGGTTAATAACTCACTGGATATTAATTCAAATTGGGTTATTAATTATTGATTATAAATAATCAAATTAAAAAGTATTTCTTTCGATTAAAAGTTGGATTTTCCAGGTTTTAAAAAATTTTTTTTTGGGAGAACATATAATTTAAGTGGTTTGGTTCTTTTTCGCAGAATATTTTATTCAATAATAAGAAAAAAGTGATTTGGTCTGTTCTTTGAATCAACAGATTATATATGTTTTACAAGTTTATGATAATTATTTTAATTATTTTGAAATTAAGTAGATTTTTTAAACTGGGTTATTTCATGACTTAGTGGTTTCATTTTTAAAGTGTATTTTTGTATATTTCCTATACAGATATTAAGATTTCTTTTTTCTTTCAAATAAAATAATTTTTTTTTTAATAGTTCAGATATATGTTGAATTTTATACTTTTAAAAAAATGAGAAAAATGGATCAGACTTTTAAAAACAATTATTCATTTCTGAAAATACCATTAAAAGTAATTAAGGTATTGTAGTAATCAGATCTTTACTCCATTTTTCAATTTCAAGATACACTAATTTTTTTTGGATTTTTTGTTGAATTTACTTCAAGATTTTTTGAAGTTTCCTAGTCCCTTAATTAAAAAAACCCATTGGTGCTTTGATTGATTTTTTTATATTTTATCTGTAAAATATATTGATTTTCGTTAGTTTTTTCTTTACTTTTCGAAATAAACCGACAATTTATTAGTTTTTTCTGTTTATTTCAAAAAGTAAAAAAAACCTAGAACACTTCACAAATAAATAGAAAACCTCAGAAAAACCCAGAACATTTCACAAATCAACGGAATACCCATGAAAAGCCAACCACAGTTGTTTTTAAATTTTGTAAATTGAAAAAAACTAACATGAAGTGCTGTAGAGTACCGTAGAGTGAGTTAGGCTTTCTAGAATTCAAAATAATTGATTGAAATAAATATACTTTTGATTTCTCAAACTCAAGAAAAGATAAGGGAGCTTTTCGAAAATTTAAAAGAATTGTACAAAATCAAAAATTTTACTGTATATTTTAATTTTAAAAAAAAATTAACTTATTTAAGGAAAAATTAATTCTCTCCTTTCAAAATAAAATTAATGGTTTTGTCGTTTTAATTCAAGATTTACCCAAGAATTATTAATTCAAAAACCTAAAGTTTGATTACTTTGTTTTCAAATGGGCAAATAGTATTTTCAATATATCACAAATATAATTCAGATTCATCAATTTAACTATTTCAATCTACATATTAATGTTACCAAAATAATGTGCAAAAAAATGAAAACCCATTTTCAAAATAAAAAAGTGTTTTTTTTTCTGATAGAAGACCTATTCATTAACCAATCAAAGAAACCAACAAAAAACCCTAAAAAAAAAATATGGTATTGATTTCTTATAGTTCTATCATTTAAAAAGAAATTCTAAAAATTGAAGGATCTAATAAAAAATCTATCTTATAAAATAGAGTAAATTTTTTTGGAAACCTTTTTATCATATCAAAAAAAACAAAAAATTTCAAGTAAAATTGAGAATATTACTAAAAATTTTCAATAAATTACATTCATAAATTGAAATTTTATAGAAAATATCAAGGAGTTTTCTATCCAAATTGATTTAAACTTGGGTATACTATTCCGTAGTAAATTGGATGTTGCATACCTTAAGAATAAAAAAAAAACCTGTTTTTTCAGAAAAATACTGATTATAGTCTTTTGTGCAAGCATTATTTTGATCTCTGTTCAATTTCTCAAAATATAACTCAATTTTAAAACAAAAAAATTCAAGAACATTAACTTTATAGATCACTGCTTTTTCACCCTTTCTTAAATCTCTACAACAAGATTAACTTTCTGAAGAAAATAAAAAAAAAAGAAATTTTCGGATACCGGGAATCGAACCCGGGCCAATCGGATGAGAACCGAACGTACTGCCACTAGACAATATCCGATAAATTCAATAAATTGACTATTTAGATATTTTTAAAAAAATGAACTTAATCATTCAAAAAAAATTAAAAATTAAGATTATTAAAAACTATTTGTGGAATCACCTTCGACACAAGGATAGACTATCAATAAAAAAAAAGAATAATGAGAAAATATACATCTTTTAATCAAAACAAAACTAAACTACAAAATAAATGATCTAATTTTAAAATCTACTAACGTCAAAATAACCTGTGCAAAAAAATATAATGCGTGTTTCAAAATAAAAACCGTATTTTTTTGTTTTCGAAGATCAATACACACAACCTATCATAGAAACTGATAATAAAGCCTAAAAAAAATATGGTATTGGTTTCTTAAAGTTGTATTATTTAAAAATAAATTCTAAAAATGAAGGAGCAAATTGCAAAATTTATCTCAAAAAATCGAGTAAATTTTTAACAATATTTTAATCATAAAATAACAAACAATTCTTCAAAAAAATTGAGAATCTTATGGAAAATTTTCAACTATTTGCATGAATAATTTAAATTTACCTGAAAATAACCAGACCTTTACTTTCAAAATTGATTTGAACTTAGGTATATTATTAGGTAGTAGATTGGATGTTGCCTTGGTACAAGAATAAAAAAAAGCACAGATAATATTTTAAAACATGAATTATAGTTGTTGTGCAGGCTTTATTTTGATCACTATATTTTTTTTATTTCCAAATTTTTTATATTATTTTCAAACAAGTCCAAATATTTCTAGTGTATAAAACTTACTATTAAAATAATTACAATATTACCATGAATAATGAATAGCTTCAATTCATAAAAATATTTATTTTCAAAATTTGATATTTAAGAGGACAATGATTTAGAAATAGAGTTTTTATATAAATATATAAAATTCGAAATGATCATTTTCATAAAAAAAACAATTAAACAAAAAAAGTTTCATTGAAATCTCCATATTTAAAAAACTAATTTCATAATAAATAAAGTTATTTGTTTCTATCTTTATAACACAAAATATTGAATTTTAAATAATTTTAAGAAAAAACCTCTCTTTTAAAACGTAATTGTTATCCTTTATTTTCATCAATATGTGTCTGATTTATAATTTCTAATATTTGATAAATGAATAAATATTTATCATTTGTGAGATATAAATAACTGATTTTAGAAAATAAAAAAGAAAAAAAAAATTTTTTTCCGATCACAAAAAATGTGAAAGAACAACATTATAAAACCAACATAGTTGTTATCCAAATGATAATTCACATCCATACCAATAAGAAATTGAGTACCATTAATTGTCTTTTGTGAAAAAATGTTATTGATTTTTTCTGAATCACAAACAAATTCTATTACATATTTAAAGTAATTTTAAAAAGTAAAAGAAAAATAAATCAAATATTGTATAATTTCCAATCACAAAAAACTATACATTAATTTTTTTCTCAATATTTTTATATATTTCTTGAAATTTAACAGATCAAGCAATTATTTTTTTTTTTAATATTTAAACTATAACAAACGAACTGGAATTGTTTATTCAAATTATTTGATAATAGACCTGGATTTTTTTATTTTATTTAATAATTTGAATACAATATCTTTCAAAGTTGTAAATTGAGAAAAAAGGATCAAACTTTAATAAATAATAACTATTGTAGAAAAAAAACGCACAAATATGGTTGATATTGCAGTAATCAGATTTTAGCCTTATCTTTGCTTTTCAAGATGTTATAAAAACATTAGGAATTATTTAAGAGATTAGAATTTTCAAGACAAATCAACAAATTAGTGATTAATTTATCTTTTCACAATAATTTAGATTATTATCGATTTTGGTCTTTTTCTGTTAATCTGAAATAGTTATGATAATATTAAAAACGTTAATAACTAATAAATTTCGCAATAATCAACCAAAAAGTTGTAATAAATTTAGGGAAAATTATTTATTTTAATTAATCTTTAAAACAATAGCTTAATATCCAATCAATATGAAAATATATTTAAAAACAGTGTAAAAATAATTTCTTGTTTTTTTTTTGTAACAATATAAAATTCTATTTTAGAATTTTGAGTTTATAAATATATTTTCAGGAATAATTGCTAAATTTGTGATCACAAGAATATTTGTTGATAAAAGCAGAAATTCGAGCTATTCAGATAAACTCCCTTGAATCTTATTTTATCATTAAAAAATTTAGTTCTCAAATTTCCTGATTTTACATGCGATACTTGGGTTAACCACTGATAAATCTTTATTTTTCAGAGAAAAAAAATCCAAAATATCAATATCTGTGTTCATTTTTTTTTGGTTTGTGAACATTCCCCTTGTTATAATATGAGTTTGACCTTGAAGAATGACGTAAATGAGATTTTACGAAGTGATATAAGATGATTTTAAGTTATTTGAAAGAATAAAGATGTAAAAAAATACTTAGCACCAGAGTAATATCATAATTATTAGTCTGAAATGGGATACAAAAGTAGAATGATAAAAGGTGATTGCTATACTAATGAAAAAATATGAGATACTATTAATTTTTTGGAAATCAGGATCTATGGTGTTGAAATCTAAAAAAAAACTGATAAATTTTACCAAAACCAATAATTCGTTATTTTTCAATGGTACTTTGACTAGCTTGTTTTTAAAACGATCTTATATCCCAATGAAGTTTATAAAAATATTAAAGTGATATTTTATATTTTCATCATTAGCTACAAAACCTGGTTTAAAATTTACAGTTCCAAACTAGATTGCATATCCTTTAATTTAGATACATTTCCTTTATTGTTACCTTTTAATTAGCCAATTATCAAAAATAAAAATCTGCATGCAACTGGAGTTCTTAAAAATGGATGATTTTGAACATTACTCTAAAATTTCAATGACTTTATATTGAAAAAAATATTTTTTTTTTTTTTCCTAAATGATCATTAATTTTTTACTCCTTTCAAAATCATCTTATAAATAGTCTATTCTCTCTTTTTTTCTCAGAAAAAAGGGAACAAATATATTTTTTTTTTTAAATATGATATTGTTTTTTTCGGAAATGAGAAAAAAAACTGTTTGTATTTATACATTTAGAATTTTTTTTTAATACAGGAATGAAATTAATCCCTTTTCCAAAGATTTCCCAAATTATCAACAGTTTTTTTTTAGTTTTTCTTGAACAAGTAATTTGGTTCCTTTTACCAAAATATCGGGTTAATTGGCTTGAAATTAAGACATTTGCAAATTTTCGAGTCACCAATTAAACAATGTAAAAAAAATTATAAAAATATTTTGTATAAACTCTTCTAAAATAACTTTAAATATCATATCTAAAGACAATTTTATTATTAAAATACTCTTTATTTTACTATGTTAGAATTGAAAATAAGATCAGAAAATTTTCAAACTTTGTCTAATTATACAAGGAATTCTCAAAATCTTTCCCAGTGGCTATAATACTATCTTAAAATTTTACGAGTTCTAATATATATTGTTATTTGTAGTAATCAAAAATTATTTACTTGAAATTTCATAAATTAAAACTTAATATTTTTAAAAAAATAAAGAGAAAATATATCAAGTGATGTAGATCTGAAAAATATAACATCATTTTAACTGTTTTTTTTTTGATTATTTTTGAAAGAAAAAAATAACTGACTACTTATTGTTTATTGTGGGATTCTTTGAATATTTAATGGGTAATCTGGCTTAAAAAGTGAAATAGATTGTTTTTTTTAATTTATAAGATGATTAATAAATCTGTACATGTTTATATTAACATATTTCTACTATTAAAAAATGAAATCTTGAAAATAAAAGATCAAAGTGTAAAATTTGTTGAAAATATATATTTAATTTAGACCAAATTTTTTACAATATATAAAAAAACAACAAATTTCCTTCAAATATCAGTTGGGATAACTTCAAAAAATTCGAAAATTTTTTATATATTTAATTCAGAATAGAAAAATTTATTTCAAAATATCATTTAATTTTAGTTCTAAGTTGATTTGTTTCTCAAAAGATTAGTATATATTAAGTAGAAGCCTAATATTAAAGTATGTAAATTGGGTGTAAATCAATCAAGTGCTCCATGGTCAAATGTCCCTAAAAATTGATTAGTCAAGTTGTAATATTTGTTGATCTCATTCATTAAAAATAATCCTCATATTTTTATAAATAATAGAGACTTTTGGATAAAAATCTGTATATCGCAACAAATTTAAAGGATGAACTATCAATTTAGGACGACAAAGTAGTAAAATATCTTACTTTTATAAAGTTGTGAAAAAATGTAGATTAGTTACTTATAAAATTCAATTTTTTTAAAAAAATAAATAATTAACTCGAGATATTCCTCATATAAATTATTTTAAAATCTTGGAAAAAGATTTAGGCTACAAATTTTCAAACAAGGAAAAAAACTAAGAAGTCTTTTTAGTATTTATGTTGATGATTATTGAGTAAATTTTGGAAATTAAAAAAAATATAAAAATAGTTACTTTTGAAAGTTCTTGTTATTAATTTTGAATTACAAGAATACAACTATTTAGATTTTTATTTTTAGATTTGGATAAAGTATTTCCAACTAAAAACTACTACAAAAACTATTTTTAATTGTGATCATTAGTAAAAAAAACAATAATTTATTTTTTCAATAATATTTATAAGAGATTGGTTAGAGTTATTTGAGCCATGTGAAACTTATTGTAGTAATATCATTAATAGTAAATTACAACATACTTTGATTATAGACAATTCTATCTTGAAACGAATCCTTGAAGTGTTCTATTGGTTAAATAATTAGGTGTTGTATTACGAAAAAAAGATAAAAAAAAGTCAAGTTTTTATTTCAAGACACATATTTTGTAACTCTATAGACAGGTAATTTTGGTTTGTATAGAATATTGGTTTTTTTTTCTGTTTCAGTAATTGTCTACCTTAAAAAATTTGTCATAACTTAAAATCTCTAAACAATAATTCAATTACAACTCTAAAAGTCTTTAAA